CAGAGCCAGAATTTGTCCTCCAGGGCACCTTGCAGAGACCCGAAACCTATGGGCCCCCCGCTGAGCCCCTCACCCTGCACCCTGTTTTGCCCCCATTGTTTCCTGCTTCAGCGACAGGTACCATTCTCATGGACCAACTACTTTCCTCTTCTCGTCCCCTTGGCCAGTCCTCTTAGAGTGGAGTCCCCATCTCCACTCCTCAACCCATAGCAGCTTGGCTTGAAGAAAGTAGCCAGCCCAAGCCTCAAAGATTCATGCCTTCCTTGATGCCCTTCCCCCCCATCCAATCCATCACTGAGCAGAGCTGACTCTAGCCCCCCACGTATCTCTCCAATTTGTCCATTTCTTCTCATCATCCCCTCTGCATACCCCTGTCCTGGCCACTATCAATTCTCAGAAGTGACACAAAAACAGCCCCAATGGTTTCCTGGATTCTGATCTTGCTTCCTACCAACCCGTTCACCTAAAGCCCAAGTGATGTCTCCCAGATGCTCCCTCCTCCTTTCTATACCCATGTGTACATGTGTGTGCATAACATACACATTTTCATCACGGCCCTCAAGGATCCGCCTGCCCATTACCCATCTCGTCTCTTACCCCCTCCCATTTCCCAGCTCTGCTCCAGGTAAGAACCTCCTCCAGGTTCTGGAAGGGACCACACACTTCCTCTAAACTTCGGGTCTTCACCCTCGTTTCTACCCCATCTGAAAATCTCCCCCTAGCTCAATCCCCCATCAGAATCTACTAATGCCTACTAATTCTCCACCCTGCCTGCCACCAAAATAATTTGGGGGAGCTTTAAAAAAATCCTGATGCCTAAAACATACCCCCAGAATCTCTGGAGGTGAGCCTAGTCCTCAGGATTTTAAACCAATCAATGTAAGAAAAACCAGGGTTGAGAACCTGGTTTTGGTCCTAACAACTCTTACTTTACAAGAGGCAGCCCCCTGCACCCCACCTCACACACGCTTTCCAAAGCTCTCGTCACTTCCCTGCCCAGCATGCATGCCAACTTATTGTGCTGTGCTTAATGCTCCTCAGCCCAGCTGGTCAGCAAGCCCTGCCTTCCGAGGCAGGACCCAGTCTCTCTGTTTTCTTCTGTATCTTCAAGGCCTGATCCGAAGGAGAAGCTCAGTTAAGATTTGTGTCATGAATGTTGACGGTCATTTCAAGGGTGACAGGACGCTCTCATGCTTTGAACCTCCTTTCATAAACAAAATCAATTGATGGCCACCACCCCACCCCAAAAGTAACAACCCCCCCCTTTTACTTACTCAACAATGGCCTGCAATTCTACTAATGATGATTCATTCTTTTGGCTTAAAACTTTTTGTTTCAGTAAAATGAAGTACAGCCCCAAAATACAACACGTTAATGGAGTTGGTCATTATCTTTGCCCTGAATGATTTCATCAGCTCTTAACAGAAGGGACAGCAGAAGAATGACCATTTATTGAGTGTATCCTATGCACCGGGCATTTTATATACGTTAGTTCATGAATGGAGTTAAATGAGTTAGGTCTGGAAACACCTGAAACTCAAGAGAGGTTCAGGAATTAGCCCTAGGTAACAGAGCTGGTAAACCGATACACCAGATTTAAACTGACAGGAAGGGAAGGAAGGGACACAGAAAATAGGCCTGGGCTTCAGAGGACCCACCTCACCTCCTCCTCTTGGCCCAGGACCCTGCTGGCTGTTGGGACTGGCCCCGGGGACGCAGCGTTAATGGCAAAGGCCTCCTTCCAGGTGCTCATCCTCTCTCCTAGTTCATGTCCAACACATTGGCAAACCCTGTTGGCTTTGCCTTCACAATATACTGGTACTCTGACCGCCTCTCGGTACCTTCGCTGCCCACTCACTGGATCTCTGCAAGAGCCTTCTTGCTACTTACCCTGCTTCCGCCCTGGTACCCTCTCCCCACAGGGTCACATCACTTCCACCTCCGCTAGAAACCCTCCAGAACTCCCACTGCAAGCTCTGCTCCCCCACCCGCCCATTCTCCTCGGGCCTCCTCTACAGGCCAAGCCCCTCCCTCGGCCCCAGCGTCCAGCCCACTGGTGCTCCTCCAAATCCCTGCACCCGCCTTCCCCCTGCCTGGAGCGCCGGCCGCAGACACGCGCATGCCCACTCCCTGCCCCGCACCCAGCGGGGCCTCTGACTCGCTAGCGCAATTCACACACCCCGCTCGCCTCCCCATTCCCAAACATCTCTCTCCTTCCTGGCTTTGTTTGTCCCCTAGCTCTTGTCACCATCTGAGAATCACACACACTTCACTTATTTGTTTGCTGCTTCTCCTCCCCAGAATGCACCTGCTCGAGGGCAGGGATTCCTGCCTGTTTGGTCTGTGCTGTAGCCTCAGCATCGAGAGCACCGGGCATATAGGAAGTGTTCAACAAAAGATTGTTGAGTGAATGGAGGATGATGAGTAATCAATTTGAAAAATTGGTTCTACTTTGGGGGATATTATAAGTCTTTAAAGATGTGCTGGCTCCAAGTCCAGAGTGTGCCGTTGGGGCTTTAGTATGCATTGCTATGGGGTCCAGTGGCTCTAATCCGAGATAAATTAAAAATCATATCAGTGGTCTGATTCTAATACCGGGGAAGAGTCTAAGGAATTGCTGTGTACACTGACATGTTGATGCTTAACAAGTATTTGTTAAATGAATGAACAGGAAAACATCAGCTGTTATCGGAACCATAGACTACAGAGATGCCAGTGATTCAAAAGGCCAAAGTTTGTTCTGTTATGCACCAAGTTTAGACCTTCACCAAGTGGGGGCAAGGGATATACTTAACTATTGTTTGAGTATACCAACATTATAATGGGGCAATGTAGTGTAGTAGAAGTACGCGGCTTAGGGTCCAACGTCCTCAGGGAACCCCCACTCCCTGCTTGGAGGCTATAGGATCTCTGGTTACTCCGTGTCTCCCAGTCTCACTGGGTGATATGCACCTAACAGATAGTTTTAAAGCTTCGTTCACCTTTCCTTCTCTGAGCCGGCAGATTTTTCCATCAGATTCCCAGGTCCCATTCCAGACCCAGGGAATCAGACCACAGGGTGTGTATGTGGGGTGGAGGTTGGGGGGGGTGCAGCCAGGATCCTGTCTTTTAAACAAGCATCCTCAAGCGTTTAGGCTGTTGCTGCTACAAGCCTGGCTAGAGTCTCGCTCCTCCAAGTGGTCCCTGGACCAGCATCAGCATCTGCTGGGAGAGCATTAGAAAGGCCGGGTCTCAGGCCCCACCCCAGACCTTGTCAACAAGATCCCCGGGATGGTTGGCGCTTTGAAAACATTGCTCTCTCACACTTGATTAGACCAACTTACGGAGCCCTCCCCCCCTTCTCTCCAACCTCCTAAAGGGTGCCAGTGAAAAACTTTTAGCCCAGGGACAAGCCTTTCATTTCACAATAAGGGACAGGCTTAAGATGCCAAGGTCTGCCTGAGGAAGCTCCAGGGAGAGAAGGCTTCCACGGGTGGATCAAAGCAAACCTTTCATTGCTAACGTTGCTTGGTGACAGATGGGGTACCAAGAGGGCAGAAAAGGATCGAGCATCGAAGAGCAGGAAGAGATTGCTCTTGAGGGAGAAGCAGGAGGGGAAGAGGGACCTGGGGCCAGAAACTGGGTCCAGCCTTGCCACACCCATGGGTGCTCATGCTGTGGCTACAGGGGGCTCGGTTTCTGGGGGAGATAGTTTGGGGAGGTTTGCTTTGCCCAGAGGACTGCCCAAGGGATTTAAACCTGGCACCTGGGGGATTTGTTAACCTTGGGCAGAGTCAAAGACATTGTTGCTCATGGCTAAAATGACCTGTCAAGGAACTAATCACACTTACTTATTCATATTTTTATTTTTATATATTTTATTTATAAATATTTTATATATTTTTATATCTTTTAAAAGCATCCTTGAAATTTTGAAGTATGGTTTTTGTTTAACTGTGACAGACCAACAATAAGAAAGCTAAATGGTGGGGGGGTTGCCTGGGTGGCTCAGTCGGTTAAGTGTCCAACTCTTGGTTTTGGTTCAGGTCACGATCTCACCGAGATCGAGCCCCGTGTCGGGCTCTGCGCTCAGCGGGGCGTCTGCTTGAGGCTTCTCTCTCTCCCTCTGCCCCTCCCCCCACTTGTGCACTCTCTCTCTTTATTTAGAGAAATAAATCTTATAAAAAAAAAAAAGAAAGCTAGGGGCACCTGGGAGGCTCAGTCGGTTAAGCGGCTGCCTTTGGCTCAGGTCATGATCCCAGGGTCCTGGGATCGAGCCCCGCATCGAGCTCCCTGCTCAGCGGGAAGCCTGCTTCTCCCTCTCCCTCTGCCTGCCACTGCCCCTCTTCCCCTGCTTGTGTTCTCTCTCTTTTTCTATCAAATAAAAGGAAAAAAAAAAAAAAAAGAAAGCTAAACAGGAAGTTACTCAAATATATAAAGACCACACACAGCAAAAATCTCATCTTAGTAAAAAAACAATGTTAACAACCAATATGGGAAATTATTTCTCATGGACCATTGTACACAAAGGAGAGTACAACTAGAACATTATGGGCTTCATGGACCTGGCTGGAGCTGGTTCTGATGTGGGGTCCACACTATTTACGGACAACAAGCCCTAGTTCCTATACACCAGGACACCCAACGCTCAATCAGGACCTCGAAGCAAAGTGAAGACCCCCTGTTACAAAATGAGTAGCACCCCGCATCCTCCACCCCCAATCTTCCCTGGAGTTTCTCTTCTGCGGGAACCTAGACTTTCACGGGCTGTGTTAGCCTAAAGCAAGACACACCTTTTCCACGGCTGGTCTAGAAAAGCCATTTGATGGCGCTTTCTCTTCTCTCCATGTTGATTACCTGTCATTATGCTCTCCCCTAAAGGCTGCAGAACGAGTCTTAGCCAAGCAGGCAAGCGGAAACCCCGTTAGCACCCCCAGGAGCCTCGAGCCAGCTGCTGAGGGAAGCGATCCTCCCTGTCCTGGGGTGGCAGGGGCGGGGAGCCGGGAGGGGTGACACGTTACCTGCCAGGTACTCGATGACTGCCGCCATGTAGACGGGAGCACCCACGCTGATCCGGTACTTGAAGGTCCCTTTCTTCAGGTAACGCATCAACCTCCCCACGGGGAAGATGACACCGGCCCTGGCTGAACGGGACAGCTTGGACATTTTCTTCTTCCCGCTCCGGCCCGACATCTTGCCTCAGTTTCCCTCTCAGCTTGCTGACACGGAGGCCTCCCGGCACTAACACGATGCTGAGAAGGAAAGAAGGCAGGGTGAGGAAGGTGGGTCGGCAAGCATTTGGGGAATGGTGATGGGGCACCAGGACACCGCGTGACACATTTGGTGGTCCTGGGGAGGCAGCTGAGACCTGGCTGTCACCACAGGCCACTGAGGGCTGGGAGCTGGGCATGGGGCCTTCACAGGGCATCGGCAGCCACCCTGGAAACATCTCCCCACCCTGCTGAGTCAGCCCGACCTCAAGGGGAGAGGCCAAAGAAAGTCACTAGAGAAAGGGGTCACGGTGCTGTTGTCTGCAGGACAATGGCCCCAAAGATGCCCAGAACCCCTGCATATGGCAAAAGAGACTTTGAAGATATGATGAAGTCGAGGATCCTGAGATGGGGAGATTATCCTGGAGTATTTGGGCGGGCCCAGTATAACAGCAAAGGTTCTTTTAGGAGGGGGCAGGAGATGAGCGAGTAGGAAGAGGTGTAACAGGAGAAGCAATGGATTCTCCCCTGAGAGCCTCCAGAAGGAACCAGCCCTGCCAACTCCTTCACTTTAGCCCAGAGAACTTGATTTTCACCTTCCGACCTCCAGAACTGTCAGGTAATAAATTTGTATTGCTTTAACCCCTAAATTGGGGCTAATTTATTATAGCAGCAGCAAGAGAATGAATAGGATTCCTGACTTCAGAGGACTTAGCTAATAGTTAATAGGGCAATGCCTGTCATGGTTAGCTCTGACCGATGACTCAGAGGGGCTGTGCGTTTCTCGGATGGAAGTGCTTTTCTAAATTCTCCAATCGTATAGCCTTCTTAAAAACAGAAATACGTCAGAAGATGCAGTTTATTAAACATGCTAATGCAGAGTAACCAAACCTAGCAAATTAAAAGCTACAAAGCAGCCAAAGCTTTTGCTCCTTGGAATGAGGAGTCCAGGCTGATTTGGGGAAGAAACTTCAGAATCAGCCTGAAGAAGAGACTTCAAGTACAGTGCACCGAGAGACACGCCTATAGCTCATTGTTATTTCAGGAAGCTATCTTCTGTAGGAAGATAAGATAATTATATACTTCCAAAAAGCTCATTCAGAGAATCATGATAGAGCTTCACCCATTGATTGAGGGAGTATTGTGACCAAAAGATGGGATATATTCCAGAATAAGTAAAAGCAAATGAGACAGGAAAAACAGGCATGACCAAAGGGCGAAAAAAAAAAGGAAACAAAATTTCTAGGAAATGCGTTAATGAATCAAAGTTCTCTGCTCCAAGGGCAATGTCATTTTCACTGGCTATTTCGTTTGGGAACGCAAAATAAATAAGAAAGTCAAAAAGAAATTGAGACTGGTTCTGTTGCGGAGGCTGCCTGTCTCACACACTAGCTAGGCGAGTTTACCAACAGCCAAGGTGGCCATGAAAAGGCCCAAGAAAGTGGGGAAAAATATGATGGAAGAAAGTGTGACACAGAAGCACGGCTGATAGGAAAGACACGAAGCTGGGATTTATTTAATCTGGATGGAAAAATGAACAGAAAGTTCGGGTTCCTAAAGTAGCTGATTACCCTTTACGACCGAAGAGTTTTATATAAACACTATGGATTTGGCAACCAACCCCATCCTCGACATCTTCTTATCCCCGAGGTGAATAATGTGCGTTTGAGGCATTTTATTACATACTTCACATAAATTATTTTTTATATGCTCATATGTACTTACTATACTCCTATTTTATGAGTCGTTTTGCCATCAAAAGATGTAGGTATTCATCAAAGTTAAGTACAAGCAAAGAGGAGCAAATAGCCTTAGAATATTGTCTCTTTCGTAGAAAGGCACAGAGATCAAACAATATCACCCTTTTTAAAACTTCCACATTTTCTGTGCTTCCGCTGTCCCAGGCTGCTACCTCTCAGCGAAGCCACTCAGACGTCCTCCCTTGGAGGAAGGAAGCGACTGCAATATTAAGGTCCTAACCATCTATTTACGTTAAGGAAACTGAGGTCAGGCATCCGCCAATGTCTGCAGTACCTGCTGTTGGTCATCACTGACCCAGGGCACAGGGGACTCATTAAGCAACGTGAACTGGTCCTGTCCCCAGAGAGCGCTACATGACAGGTTTGTTAGCTGGTGGTGGTGTCCAAAATGGAGGTGGCTCCTGGTACAGTGGAAAGTCCCCAGGATCGGGAACAGGAAGCCCCGGGCCAGGTCCTGCTTCTACATAACTAGCTGGGCGAGCTCTGTGTGTCATTGGTGTGGGCCTCATCTGTAAGATGGGGAGGTGACTCATTGATCCCGAAGGTCATTCTGGCCTTAAACACCCCAATGTTCGTGAAATGCACTTTCAAATGGTTCTGGTAAAGAAGCTTTAGTCCCTTTAGGAAATGAATTCTGAAGAGTTGAGAGCTTGTACAGGTTCATAAAGATGTATTAGTATTGGTGACTCCACTAAGCCAATTATGTGCTTTTTGCAGTTACGGGTAAGTTGGGGGAGAAGATTAGTAGGTCTGGTTGCCAAGGAAACCACCTGAAAAGTCCATCACAGAATGGACTTGTCCTGTGGATACTATGCACGCTAGATGGTCATGATCTCTCATACCGAGAGACAGAACGACGCACAGGGCACAAATACCACAGGGCCAGGACCCGCTCATCCCTCCCCACCCCGCCATATTTTTCTCAAACGAAAATAACCAGAGAGTGACTAAGTATGCAGGATAAAGCTACCTAGAGATTCCCCCAATGTCAGCCAAGAGGAGTCACAAATTTCCCTAAAAACAGGTGACTGTAAGGGACCGATGCCTAAAATACTCATGAAGATAAAACAGCCAAGTAGGGAAAACCAGGGTCAGATCAAATAGAGGAGCATGCTAGCTGCATGGTGTAAAATGTAGGGATCACCCCACGCATAGCGTTTTGTAACCAGACTTTCTTTTTTGGCTTCCAGACTTTCCTCCAGGTTAGGGCCTTAGAGCTGGGGGCGTGGCTCCGTCTGAGGTCTCAGTGGGAGACCGTGCCTGGGGAACCCATCTTTGTAGACACGGCGCTGAGCTTAAGCAGCGGGGCACCCAACTCCTGGGCCCCGACGCTGGGAGGAACCAGAAATTGTAAGAATCAGACCACATCCGGGAATCCCTAAGGATTCAGAGGATGCTGACGGAGCTGATTGTCACACCTACTGGACCCCACAGGTGGAAGGAAGTGCTTGGCACCCACCATTGCTCCAGAGAAGACCCTGCCTTTACAGACCACCCCTGCCCCCAACCTGTGCTGGACTCTGCCTGGAGCAGTGAGACATTGTAACCCCTAACTTCTTCGTTCCCAGGACACCCTTTCCCCTGACTCTATCCAGTCTTGGGAAGTCAGGAGTTAAAAACCTGAACGGGTTTTTATCTATTTCCTGTGAATCTCCGAATCTCTGTGGAGGGCCACTCGTTTAAAGAGAAAAGAACTATGGCAATGTGAAAAGTGTTTCCATCAGACTAATACTTAAATGTTTATATTTATTTACCTTCTGCTCTAAAACAATTTCTTCTCTAATTAGGCAAAGCTAAGGACTACAGTACATTATGTTTGTTTACAAGTTTGAAGACAAGAATATGGCTGAAGCTCTCCCAGTGGTTACCGGAGCCACGTGGGCGCCCCCTGGAGGCTGCACGTAGCCAAGCTCTACCCGCCCCACCCTCCAAGCCAATCCTGGGGTATCCTGGAGTCCTTAAGAGGAATTGGGAACCAGACCAGAGATAACCTAGATCTGCAATATATCTGTCCTTTCATCTCGGAGAGACCTAGAAAAACCAAGATATAAAGTCTCTTGATTACTTGCAAAGCAAAGAGGAGAGTTTTCAGCATGCTAACAGTGGGGACTCGGGGAAGAAGGCCAGAGCATGCCTTGCTGCCTGCTCATTTCCCTTTCCCTCCAAAAGCACAGTTGGAAGAACAAAACTGGTTTTGTGTGTGCTGGGCAGAAGGCACATTCAGACTCCATTGTTTTAGGATTTATTCCTATGATGGGCTTTTAAGCCCATAAGGACACTGATGAGCTAGATTTTACAGATATTGCAAGGGTAAATATTAAATTGTGGCATTGACTCAGACACGGGCAATAAACTCATGCCAGCCTATTCAAATAACTACTGTATTTCATTGATTTTATGATGCTTTTTTTTTTTTACATTTTACTATCTCTAGAAATCAGTATGCATCTTCCAATCTATGACATCATCAATTCAATGAAAGATAGTATTTATGAAGCATTTATTATTGAACAAGAAACTACATTAGTTGTGGAATATACACAGCCCTTGTCCTCAAATATTTTCCAATGAAGTTGCAAGATAGACCATGACAAAATTTCAAACAGATGCTAGAGACATTGTTCCCAAACTGTGCACCAAGGTACCCTGGGACAAGTCAGCAAATGTTTAAGCTTTCAAGGGAAGTAGAGTGATACTCAACCTCTGTCGGACCCTGCAACTACCAGGTCGAAGTGTTCCTACCAGGGGTTCATGACAGATTGTACTATCTTCTTTCTCATGATTCCATATCCTACAAAGCTGAGTTTTTGGTTGCTGCTGTGATTAAAGCAAAAGCCAGGGAGAAATCAATGTGGAACAGAAAATGAGAGTGGCAGTGTCCAACCTGATCCTAAGGTTTGAGAAGTTGTGCAGTGCTCAACAGGTGCACGCACCCTACTTGTAATTCATTGTGGCCATTTAAGAACGGGATACAAATATTCTTTTTTCTTCTTATTCATGTATTAGTTTTTTTTTTTCAAGTAGCTCTTAATTGTTAGGATATAAATACTAAGTTGTTCGGACGTCACCACTTCATAAATAGAACTGATAGGCATTTCTTCTGGCCTAGGCGCTCGGAGGAAAAATGGTGGAGACACTAATTTCTCCGTGAACTGAGAAAGTCTGGGAACTTCTCTGTTAGGGCCCATCACCAACAGGCTGAAACATAATTATGCCTTGCTCA